ATCTGTCTATCTATCTATCTATCTATGTCTATAAATATATAGAGATTTTTTTTTAATTCTTAGGTTTTTGAGACAGGGTTTCTCTGTGTAGCCCTGGCTATCCTGGAACTTGCTCTGTAGACCAGGCTGGCCTTGAACTCAGAGATCGGCCTGCCTCTGCCTCATGAGTGCTGGGATTAAAGGTGTGTGTCACCACTGCTTGGCAAAAATATGGGTTCATAATGTTTCAAATATAGAATAACAAAGTGGTAGTGCTTTAATCCCAGCACTTGGAAGGCAGAGACAGTAGGATTTCTGTGACTTTGAGGCCAGCTCACCGACATAGTGAGTTCCAGGATAGCCGTGGTTATGTTGAGAGACCCTATATGTATGTAAATGTATGTATGTATGTATGTGTATATATATATATATATATATTATATAATAGAAATTAAAAGACTTTAAAGAAGTGAGATCTGTGTAACAGAAGAAAGCAAAATGAGTGGCTATATTAGTTATTTTGCCGCTGCTATGACAAAATACCCAACACAGGCAATTTATTTTGACCCACAGGTTCAAAAATATCAGGTCATCGAGGCAAGGAAGGCAAGGCAGTGTCCGAGGTGGTAGGAGTGCACGGTGGTAGCTCTTTACAGTCTAGCTGGCCAGAAAGTGGAGAGCAGTGGGCTGAATGGGCATAATTATAGCCTCCAGGGGCTGGTAAGATGGCTTTGAGAACAAAGGCAACTGCCACCGAGCCGGAGGACCCGAGTTCACTCCCTGGAACCTACATGGTGGAAGGAGAACCAGCTCCTGAAAGACATCCTCTGACCTCCACAACTGTGCATATGTACACACAAAATAAATAGATGCAATAAACATAAATAAATATAACCTTCATAGGCTGGCCTCTATGAATGCACTTTCTCCGGGTAAGCTCCGAGTGCAAAGGGCTCTGTGGCCACCCCAAACAGCAGCATGTGCTAGAGAGCAAATGTTCAAAGAATGAGCATGTGGAGGACACTTGATATCCAAACTGTAACTTTGGGGGAGACACGTAAGTGGTTAAGGCAACTCAGAACAATCTTTGTGTATCTGCATAAGCAAGTGACAGCAGAAAAAAAAAGGGCAGTTAGTCAAATAAATAGAGAGTCGAGGCTGTGCATTTTTTTTGGGGGGGGGGGGGGGGGGTCAGGGTTACTGGGAACTTATTATCATCCAGGGACTGGACTCAGAGACAGCTTGGAGGGTAACAAGATGGATGCCTAGCATAAAATTCAGAGTTTGTTTGTTTTGTAATTTTTTTGTTTTGTTTTGGGCTTCTTGATTTTTCGAGACAGGGTTTCTCTGTGTAGCCTTGGCTGTCCTGGAACTCACTCTGTTGACCATGTCAGCTTTGAACTCAAGAGATCTGCCTGCCCCTACCTCCCAAGTGCTGGCACTAAAGGTGTGCACCACCACCGCCCAGAAAAAAAATCAGTTTCTTTAGCCATAACATTTACCCATTAATGAGAGGAGAGGAATTAAGTTTAGGAAACTTTACTCCTTAAGGACAGGACAGCTTACGAGAGTTTACTCACTAGAGACAAGAAGAAAGGCTTGTTTCAGGAGGAGGGAAAGGCAAGACCCCGAATGAAATCAACTTAGTCAAGCACAGGTAATATGCTGGTAACTGGGAAAATACAGATTTAATTATGATAGCAGGGTCAGGTTTTTCAAGACTGCACTTGTATTAATTTACAGTGTAAAATAAGGAGTCTGGCCTGGGGAGGTCACTCAGTTGATAAGGTTGCAGATACAGTTGGTGGAGTTGCTGGGCAGGCATGAGGAACCTGGGTTCGAATCTCCAGCACCCATATAAAAAGCCAGGCCTGGAGTGCCCGTAGTCACTCAGATGGGGAGACAGAGAAAGGTGAATCTTCGGAGCTCTCTGAGCAGCCAGTTTAATGGAATCTGTAAGCTCCAGGCTCAGTCTGAGGACTTAAGTTCACTTCCTGGGACCTACAGGGTAGACAGAGAGAACCAGCTCCAGCAAGCCGTCCTCTGATCTTCACACAATGCACGCACACATGCGAATAAGTATATAATGAAATATATATATAATGAGGTGGGTGGGACTCAGAACGGCTCAGTGCTTAAGAGCACTGGCTGCTGTTCTTTCCAGAGGACCCAGGTTCTGTTCCCAGCACCCACGTGGTGACTCACAGTTGTAACTCTAGTTTCAGGGGTTTCAGTGCCCTCTTCTGGCCTCCAAGATGGGTACTACCACCTGGTACACATAGAGGTACAAAAGGCCTACACACTACACACACACACACACGTTTGAGACAGGGTTTTACTCTGCAACCCAAGCTGACTGGCCCTCCCCATTCTTTTGCCTGAGAGCTGGGAGTTTTTTGTTTGTTGCTGCTGTTTTTAGAGTTTATTTATGTGCTATGCACACCTGGTGTGCTGGCGTGTGTGTCTATCCACCACGTGGGTGCGGTGCCTGTAGTTAAAAATGGTTGGGAGCCGCCGTGTGGGTGCTGGGAATCCAACCGGGTCCTCCGGAAGAGCTGGCAGTGCTCCTAACCACTGAGCCATCATCTCTCCAATCCTCCCCAGTCAATAAATAAAGCTTCAAAAAATAAAAAAAAAGAATTGAGCTCTAACATCCACAGGCACACACTCACGCCCTATACACATCCGACGGTAGGCACAGCAAACAAACTCAAATAGAAACGAGTGGATTGGAAACTAGAATACTTGTGTTTGGTACGTTCCCCCAATGCTAAGAAACACGCTTACGGTCCAGCTTCATCCCCAACTCATTAACAAGTATACTGACAACTGTAACACAGACTTGGAAGCATTTGCAAGGGCGGCAGGGGAGCAGTCCACTGTGCTGAACTTCAGCAGGCTTTAATAATGCTTTAGGGAAGGGGTGGAGAGAGGGCTCAGTGCTTAAGGGCAATGGCTGCTCTTCCATAGGGCCCAGGTTCAATTCCCAGCACCCACCTGGCAGCTCACAACTATCTGTAACTCCTGTCCCAGGGACCTGTAACCCTCTCACACAGATATACGTACAGGCAAAACACCAATTCACATAGAACAAAAAAGATAAATAAATCATAAAAAAATATAATGCTTTAGGTTGCTGGGCAGCGGTGGTGCATGCCTTTAATTCCAGCACTCAGGAAGCTGGGGCAAGTAGATCTGTGAGTTCCAGGCCAGCTAGGGATACACAGAGAAAACCAATCTGGAAAAAACAAAAACAAAAATGCTTTAGGGAACTCCCCTTTGGCTCAGTTTGAAAATCCAAATCACGGGGTTGGGGATTTAGCTTAGTGGTAGAGCACTTGTCTAGCAAGTGCAAGGCCCTGGGTTTGGTTCTCAGCTCTGGAAAAAAAAAAAAAAAAAAAAAAAAAAAGAAAATCCAAATCACATCTTGGGGTGAGTTTGTCATCAGCCCAGTTCAAAAATTTATGCTGAAACCTAAATGATATTTACATCCATTTTACGAACTGGGAACTAGCCTGGTGGTGGCAGTTTATGCCCTTAATCCCAGCACTTGGGAGGTGGAGGCAGGCAGATCTCTGTGAGTTCGAGGCCAGCCCTGGTCTACAGGGTGAATCCAGGACAGCCAAGGCTACACAGAGAAACCCTGTCTCGAAAAACCAAAACCAACCCAAACAATAACAGAAATGTGTTATTGTAAGCCACCAATACTGGCTTACCTTACTTGCGCAAGTAGAAAATCTGAGCACTTGAAAATTTGTTAGAGAGATGGGGGTTGGTGGTATTAAGACCAGAGAGGACCTCGGTGAGAGGGGAAGGGCTGCTGTAGGTCATGTGACCTGTGGAACATTGGTCACAACCTTCACCTCTGACTCGAATGACACAACACAGGCCCAGAGGACACTTCTTGCATGCCCGATGGTGTCAGTTCTATAAGAGTCTTGAACTTGGGTGTAGACACTCTAACTCTGCCCAGAGACCAAAACGTCCCTCTTTGTATTGCAGGCACCAGTAATTCGGAGAATTTCTCAGAATTCCAGGTCTGCCTAGGCTACAAAGCATGTTCTAGGCCAACCTGGGTACCATGAGGCCCAGTCTCAAAAACAACAAAACAATAAGCAAACAACAAAACAATAAAAAGCAAATAGAGCACATGCAAATATATACTAAGTTATGGTTACAATTATAGATTGTTGTCATTTTGCTACTCATACTTTAAAATTTTTCCTAATGAAAATGCATTATAAAATAATTATAATTAAAACCAAACCATTAAATAATCTCTAAGAAGCAAAGAGGGAAAAAGAAGTATCTATTTGCTCTTCTGGATTAATTGATTTTTTTTTCTGCTGTTTTTGATTGTTTTGTTTTGGTTTTTTGAAACAGGGTTTCTCTGTGCACTCCTGGCTGTTCTAGAACTCTCTTTAGACCGACCAGGCTGACCTCGAACCTGCCTCTCCCTCTCTAGTGCCAGGAATAAAGGCCCGCGCCAACACCTCCTAGCTTGATGGCCACGTATCTTATTGCCCACCCACTTGCCTGCCTCTTTCCTGGGCATCAGAAAAAGCCCTAGCTGCAAACTTGTGCTATGAAACCACCCCTTCCTCAAAGGCTACAAGAGACCTTCATTTTGGCCCCCAGGGCCTGAACTCTCTTCAAAGTTGTCATGTGTCTTTTCCAGCCTTAATAACTTCTTTAATAAACTCCCAAAATTTCTTCCCAGTGTCTCACTTGAACCCCTCATCTGCGACCTTTCAAAGGAGTCATGAAAGTCGTGAAAAAATGGTGGGTTCTAAGGGTCCGGGGAACCCCAGTGTTTCTGTGAGTGGGGGTTTGGGGTGGCTGTAAGGCTGGCAGGAACTTCTGTCATGCCTATGGATGGACGACCTTGGGGCTGGGAGGAACATGAGCTTCCTCTTTCCGCCTATCCTGGCCTCTGTGCCCCTCTAAGGCCTCACCCAAGCAGCTGTACAGGCAACTTGCCCTCAACCAAGTTGGCGCAGGCGGCTTCACTCGGGCACACGTGACCCTTCCAGGTCCCGCCTCCGCCCTCCCACGGAGAGCGAGGCCAAAAGCCCAGCCTCGGGGCAGTGGACAGCCTGGCCAGCATGTCCCCCAGGCGGAGCGCGTGCTGGGTCGCGCTGGGCCAGCTGCTGTGCAGCTGCGCGCTGGCGCTGCAGGGCGGGATGCTGTTCCCGAGAGAGAGCCCGTCGCGGGAGCTCAGGGCGCTGGACGGACTGTGGCGCTTCCGCGCGGACCTCTCCGTCAACCGGCTGCGGGGCTTCGAGCAGCAGTGGTACCGGCGGCCGCTGCGGGAGGTGCGCCGAGGACCAGGGCTCTGGAGGTCCAGAACCCGGGGGACGGGAGGAGGGATGCCAGTACCCGGAGCGCCCCTTCCCTTGTCTTCATCCAGAGGAGGTGAAGGCGGGTTTGCAGGCTGAGGAGCCTGCAGCCGGAGCAGGAAGCGGAACCCGGCGTGCCTGAGAACCGCGGGGACTCTGCCAGGCAGGCGCTCCCCGAGACAGCGGACTTTTTTAAGTTTACTTTCTTTCATAGTGCTGGGGTTGAACCGGGGCCTCGTGCCGACTTGTCACTACTGAGCCTGTTGTTTTGGTTTTGAAACAGTCTCTCATTCTGTGACCCAGGCTGGCCTGGCTATCCCGGGGAACCTCTTGCTCCAGCTTTCCCGAGTGTGGGAATAGACGTTTGTACGCGTGCTTCCTGCATCCATTCCTCCTGCGTGCCCTCTCCCGTCTAGGAGAAGCAGGACCCTAGCTAGCTGTGTCCATAGGAGCTGCCTCCACCACACATTTGGGGGTGGGGACAGAGATGGAAGAGCTGGACGCCTTGGGGGCTCTGCTCGAGCACTTGGCGGTGAGATGGCAAGATTCAGATGGAGAACGGGACTTTGCGCACAGCTAACGGAGAACCCCATCCGCCCTCGCCCTTCCTGACTGGGCAGGGCTGGTGGCAGGTTGAGGCAAATGTGTGCCTGCAGCCTCCGCCTCTCTCAGTTTCAGTCATTCATTCACTCTCGCTTGCTGGTCTCCTGTTCGGCCCTCTCCTCCTCTTCCCCACCTTCCTCTCCCTTCTTTGTTTAACATTTGTAACATTTATTTATTTGTGTGCATGTGTGTGGGCACTCGTGTGCTTCGCGATGCGTGTGGAAATCAGAGGATAACTTGTGGGTGTCTACTCTCTTCTCCGTCCAGGGATCTAATGCTCAGGTCATCAGGTTTGCTGACTAGTGCCCGTAAGCCACTGAGTCATCTCATCAGCCGCGCGCGCGCGTGTGTCTGTGTGTGTGTGTGTGTCTGTCTGTCTGTCTGTGTATGAGACAACGTTTCATACTGGCCCACGTTGGCCTCCACCCTTGAGCAGTCCTGCTACCTTAACTTCCCAGGTGCTTGGGTTACAAGCTGTGAGGCACCGCACCTGGCGTAGGCTCTCAGTTTTCAACTGTACTGCCCAGCATTCAGCAGAAGAGGAAGTAAGGAGGAGCAGGCGCCTGCACGTGGCTTCTCAAGTTTCCTCAACTCAGGGGCCCCCGTTCCCTTCTTCCCCATGGCAGTGGTCATCTCTGCCTCTTGTGTAAGGTCTGTCCTGTTTTAGGCTGGCTTGTGGCCTTGGGTTCAGCCTTTCCCTGAAAATCTTGGCCCTGTGTCAGAACTTGATTCTTCCCCTCCCTGCATTGAAACAGGGTTTCTCTGTGTAGACCTGGCCCCTGGACTCAATTTGTAGACCAGCTGGCCTCAGACTCATAGAGATCTGCCTGCTCCTGCCTCCTGAATGCTAGGACTAAAGGTGTGCACCAGCACACCCAGCCAAGAACCTGGCTTTAACCATCTTTTGTACAAATTGTTCATGCAGTTCAGTTACCCGACTCATGCAGCCAGTGTTCACAGTGTCCCTGTACCTCTATGAGGTGCTAGGAGTGAGGTCAGGAAGAATTGACCTGATCCTTCTCTTTAGAGAGTCTGGCCTCAGATATGCTATGTAGCAGAGGATAGCCAGGGCATGACCTTGAACTTTGGTCTTCCGGCTCTGCCTCCCAAATGCTAGGATGACTGGCTTAGGCAGTGCTGGAGTTGGAACCCGGGACCTCATCCGTGGCAGACCAGCACTGTAGCAGCTGAGCTCCATCCCCAGCCCATGACTCTGGCTCTTCTTTCCCTAGTCGGGTCCGACCTTGGACATGCCTGTCCCGTCCAGCTTCAATGACATCACCCAAGAAGCAGAGCTTCAGAACTTTATTGGCTGGGTGTGGTATGAACGGGAAGCAATCCTGCCCCAGCGATGGACCCAAGACCCCCAGATGAGAGTGGTGTTGAGGATCAACAGTGCCCACTACTATGCTGTTGTGGTCAGTGGAGGGAGCGGTTGACTGGAGGGAAGGCAGTCTGGGCTGTTGAGAAGGGGTCTGTGCCATGGGTAGGAGAAAGGATTGCTTCGTGGTCTCTGCCATCAGGCTGATGTCAGGACCCTCCTCTGTAAGGGGTACCTGAGGCAGCAGTGCCCTTTGGCCGGTTGCCCTCTGCTCATATTTCCCTGTGTCTGCAGTGGGTGAATGGGATTCATGTGGTGGAGCATGAGGGAGGTCACCTCCCTTTTGAGGCTGACATCAGCAAGCTGGTCCAGAGTGGGCCCCTGACCACCTTCCGGCTCACCATCGCCATCAACAACACACTGACCCCTCACACCCTGCCACCAGGGACCATTGTCTACAAAAATGACACCTCCAGGTGAGCAGCATTTCCCCCCCCCCCCAATTTTCCCTCCTTTCCTCTTCTCTTCCCTCTTCTCCCCTCCCCTCCCTAGTGGACTTTCCCACAGGGAGAGTGGCTTTAGCCTGGGATCTGAGGAGACCACGGGACACATGATAGCTAACATCAAAGGAGGCAGAATGATTTCTGGGCGTTCTCAGGCCAGCTAGAACAAAAGACCCTGTCTGTCTAGAGGTCTGATCTTGGATATTTCGGCATGCACACACAGGAAGAAAAAAGACACAGGAACTATGGCCCTTTGTCCCCCCGCCTAGGTATCCCAAGGGATACTTTGTTCAGGACATAGAGTTTGACTTCTTCAACTACGCGGGATTGCATCGGTCTGTGGTCCTCTACACCACCCCCACCGCCTACATTGATGACATCACTGTGACCACTAACGTAGACCAAGACATCGGTGAGGGCTCCTGGCGGGAGGCTGTGTGCTAGGCTGAGTCCGGCTTATCCCCCATTCCAGAGGAAACAATCCCCCAGGGAAAAAAGGCTTCAAGTGTCTTTTAGCCCTCACCTGCTTCGTCACCCCCAGAAGACAAGCCCTAGACTGCCCAAGCTGACAAGGGCTTCACCCATCTGGTGGATCTCACTTTCCATGGAAGTGAGGACCAATGAGAAGTGGGGTCTTCTTCAAAGTGACCTAGCTCATGATAATGAGTCACTTGTCTCTCCACTATTTTTCCACCCCTAACCACTCCTGTCTGCACAGTCGGGTGAAGCAAACAGCAAAAACCAAGCAGCTGTTCGCTGGTGGAGCCTATGGGAACTTCTGGAAGTAGGATATCTGTTTCTGTCCCACAGGGCTGGTGAATTACTGGATTTCCGTCCAGGGCAGTGAACAGTTCCAGCTAGAAGTGCGTCTTTTGGATGAGGATGGTAAAGTCGTGGCCCATGGAACAGAGGGCCGGGGCCAACTTCGGGTGCCTAGTGCCAACCTCTGGTGGCCTTACCTCATGCATGAGCAGCCAGCCTACCTGTACTCCTTGGAGGTAAGTGATCTGGGACTGGGGTGAGGAAGGGCTTTTGCTGCCACCTGGTGACTGTAGCTTCAGTTGGCACCCAGGACAGGTGTCTAGGTGGGTACTGTCATAGAGTTCCGGCTTTTTCTAGCCCTTCAAGGGAAAGTCCTGAGCATGTTCCTGTTAAAAACAGAGAAGGTAATTTCTGCATCTCGGCTGCAGGCTTGTGGGATACACAGGCCCTTTTAAGCTGGGACCAGGGCTATGGATAATAGGATCAAATGAATATAGGAGTTGAGGTTAATCTGGTCTACACAATGAATTCCAGGACAGCCAGAGCTACATAGTAAGACCCTGTCTCAAAGAAACAACCCACTCCAAAAAAGTAAAACAAAAACCCCAGCCCACCTGGGGGGATGGCACACGCCTTTGATCCCAGCACTTGGGAGACAGAAGCAAGTGGATCTCTGTAAGTTTGAGGACAGCCAGGGCTACACAGAGAAACCCTCTCTTGAAAGAGCAAAAACAAACAAACAGCTAGAGCTAGGCATGGAGGTGCTGCCTGTAATCTTAGCACTTGGGAGATGAAGGCAGGAGGATCAGTTCAGGATCATTCTTAACTACAAGTGAGTTTGAGGCCAGCCTGAGCTATATGAGACTCTTCAAAAAAACAAACAAAACCTCTAAAGTGTTATGGGGGAGAGGAGAAGTCCCTCATGTTGGGTGACATGGATGAAGCTCAGCCCACCGCAATTCACCTGGGTGCTATGCCTGGCACTTGGGCCCTCCTAGGTGAGGATGACAACAGCTGAGTCTGTGTCCGACTTCTACACCCTCCCCGTCGGGATTCGAACCGTGGCTGTCACAGAGAGCAAGTTCCTGATAAACGGGAAGCCTTTCTATTTCCACGGTGTCAACAAGCACGAGGATTCCGATGTGAGTTGGGGCTGTGGCCTCCCCGTGTGGGATGCTGGGAATCACTAACGTCTCTTTCCTGTTCCTCTGTGCCCCGAGGACACCATCATGTGCTGGGGTTTTGTGGTGAGCCTAGATAGGGTAGAGGGCGTGACTCTTCAGGGGCCGGGCATCAGAAGAAGGTGCGTATTCTCCAGTGACAAGGGCAGAGGTCACAGAGCCCTGCCGTCCCCTAGATCCGAGGGAAAGGCTTCGACTGGCCGCTGCTGGTGAAGGATTTCAATCTACTGCGTTGGCTCGGGGCCAACTCCTTCCGTACCAGCCACTACCCCTACGCGGAGGAGGTGCTTCAGCTCTGTGACCGCTACGGAATTGTGGTCATTGATGAGAGTCCGGGTGTGGGCATCAAGCTGCCGTGAGTGCCCGGCCTCTCGCCGCCCACACTGCCCACACTGCCCAGCTCTTCTCAGAGCCTTTGGAGACCCTTCCCTCTCTGGTCCCACAGGCAGAGTTTTGGCAACGAGTCTCTTCGGCACCACCTAGAGGTGATGGAGGAGCTGGTGCGCAGGGACAAAAATCACCCAGCGGTTGTGATGTGGTCTGTGGCCAATGAGCCTTCTTCCGCCATGCTGCCTGCCGCTTACTACTTCAAGTGAGTGCTCTTCCTCCCCTGGGCTGCGTCAGGCCTGGGGCCTCAGCCCTTTGGCCTGGCTGAACCTCTGTAGGCAACTGGGAGGGTGGAAATCAGCCTTGAGGGGCGTAGACGGAAATGCCAGTCCATCACTTCTGGGTACCCAAATCAAGCCACCCAATTTGTGTGTGTTTCCACCTGTTAAGACCCTCCTAGTCAGACTTGAAATCCAGTTTCCTTTGGGACAGACAACTTTGGATTTTTGTTTTGTTGTTTCTCTGTGTAGCCTAGAAATAGCTCTGTAGACCAGGCTGGCCTGGAATGCACAGAAATTCACCTGCCTCTGCCTCCCTAGGGATGGATTTTAAAGGAGTGGGAGAACTTTGGCCTTTATGTAATTTTATTAACTTATTTTTGAGACAGGAGCCTGTTACGCATTTCTGGCTGGCCTCATGCTGGTACTAACCCTTTTGACATCCCCACCCCCTACCCTTTGGGGTGTTGGCATTACACCCATGATCCACACATGAAAATTTTAGATTGATTTTTAATTTTTTTCTGAGTGTGCCATGACACACATATGGAGGTCACAAGACAGCTTGTAGGAGTTGGTTCTCTCCTTCAACCATGTAAACCCCAGGGCTTGAACCCTAATCACTGAGCTTGGCAGTAGGTGCTTTTAAACCAGAGAGTCATTTTGCCAGCCCCTCTTTTTGATTTTTTTTTTTTTTCCAAGACAAGCTCTCAAACAGCACAGGCCTCGCCTCAAATTTGCTATGTAGCCAAAGCTGGCCTTGAATTCTTCCTCCTGTGTTTCCTCCTACTCAGTGCTAGGATTACAAGTGTGCTCCTTCACGCCTGGCATTCATTCCTTCACTCTAACAGAAAGACATGGTAAAGGTGTAGGAAACCACTTGGCGATGCTTTGGGTCCACCTTTATAAAACCAGTTTACACAGGCGTGTGAACGTAAATGGAATTTAAAAATATCGTTTGTGCGGGATTTTGCTTGCGTGCGTGCCTACACCATGCACACCCGCACCACCTATGCTTGGCGCCTTCGGAGGCCAGAAGGCATCAGATCCCCTAGAACTGGAGTTAGAGCTGTTGTGAGCCACCATGTGGCTGCTAGGAATTGAACCCTAGTCCTCTAGAAGAACAACCACTGAGCTATCTCTCCGGCACCATAGAAGGGGTTTGTTTGTTTTTAATGAGACAACATGTTTTAGATGTGTCTTCTGGTATAGGGGTCCTCCAGGGCCTTGCCTGTGCATGCTAAGCAAGCGCTCTGCCACTGAGCTCCTTCAGGCACACTTCTTCATGAAATGACCCGTTGGCCTCCAGGGTGAATTATATTACATGCCCCACAAAGGCAGCCAAAGCTTCTTGATCAGCGGTTCTCAACCTTCCTAATGCTGCGAGCCTTTATTACAGTTCCTCATGTCCTGGTGACCCCCAACCATAAAATTATTTTTGTTGCTACTTCAGAACTGTAATTTTGCTACTGTTATAAACTGTAGTGCAAATGGTTTGGGGGGTTTTTTGTTTTGTTTGTTTTTTGAGACAGAGGTTTGCCAAAGGGTCCCACAGGTTGAGGACCACTGTTCTTGATGCTGCCACTGCACCCCTGTTCCATATACTATTTTGAGCCCCTCTGAGTCTGTAGAAGGCAGGCCTTGAAGAATGGTCCTAGTTTTGGCTAGTGACAGCTCTGGACATTCACAGCCCTTTAGAGCTCATGGTATACAGGGGCCTTTGGGGACAGGGCTAGGTGGAGAAAACTTTAGTCTTGAAGGGGAAGCAAATATCTTCCTGAGGCTCTAAACTTTTTTAAGAGGTGGCTGAGAGAGATGCATGCTATGAGACAGCAGGGGTGAGACCAGGAGTGGCAAAGCTGGAGTACTCCAGACTGGCTTTTGCTATTTGGAACTGTTTGAGACGATGGATTCAGAACCTAAGTGCAAGGGGCAACACACAGCCTTCAGATAAGAAGAGTAATATCAGAAAGATGTAAAAGAAAAAAAATTAAGTCTTCAATGATGAATGATGGTGATCCATGCTGTGGAGACCAGGAGTAGTTCCTGGGGATCAAACCCTAACCCTGGACCAGTCCTTCCATTGGGTCTCCTCCTCTCCATTCCTCCTGGATCAATGGTTAATTCAACTCAACACTATATTTATTCAAGAGGCTTCCTCCTCCCTCCCGATTCCAGCCTTACAGGGTGTGATACCTGCTTCATTTCTGTTGCCTCTTGTCGTTTCTGTTTGTACTCATCTCTATTCTCATGGCCTTAGCTATGAGCCACCACTGATGGGAGGGCGGGGAGGAAAGGGAGATCGGTGTCTGAGAGCCCTTCCCAGACTGATGAGCCTGTCTTCTGCCTTCCATGGACAGGACGCTGATCAAACACACCAAAGCCCTGGACCCCACCCGTCCTGTGACCTTTGTGACCAACGTCAGATATGATGCAGACCTGGGGGTGAGCCTGGAGCAGGGACAGTCTCCACACTCTACGCCTCTGCTCAGTTGTGCTTGGCCTTTAGTTTTGGGTTTATTAACACGAACCAGCAGTGGCCAGCCCAGCCATTTTCACAAGTGGTTTTTTTCAGGTTAAAGTCACTAACTTCCTGCTAATTCACACTGCTTAGGCAGTGTAGCTTCTAACCCCCAAAAGGCTGGGCTGCCAGGCATATTGGCACATGCCTGTGATTCCAGCACTCAGGAAGGCAGACGTAGACAGATCTCTGTAAGTTCCAGGCCAGCATAGTCTACAAAACGAGTCAGGACAGCCAAGGCTATACAAGGAAACCCTGTCTTTTTTTTTTTTTTTTTTTAAAGATTTATTTGTTATGTATACAGTGTTCTGTCTGCGTGTTCACCTGTACAACCAGAAGAGGGCACCAGATCTCATTTTTTAGATGGTTGTGAGCCACTGTATGGTTGCTGGGAATTGAACTCAGGACCTCTTAACCTCTGAGCCATCTCTCCAGCTCTCAACCCTGTCTTGAGAGAGAGAGAGAGAGAGAGAGAGAAAGAGAAAGAGAGAAAGAGAAAGAAAAAGCCTAGTTACTTCCAGGATGGTGTACCTGTTTGCAGTGTAGACCTGGGTACTTTTTTTTAATGATTTTTATTAGCATATATTATATATAATAGGTTTATTCTATTTTCATGTGTATATTTTTAATCATTGAACATAGTCAACCCCCATTCCCTCTTTGTCCACTGCACACTCTCACTGATCCCTCTCCTTTTCCCAACTAGCCTTCTGCTTTAGACAGGATCTTAATATGTAGTCTATAGCCTAGGCTGGCCTAGAACTCAAAGTCCTCCTGAGTTTGAGGATTACATGTATGAGTCATCATGCTAGACAGACTCAGCTCCTCCCTCCCCCAACTATTTTCCCTTAACTTTCTGCATTCCAGTGCATTATCCCAGGAAGGCAGGCATAGTGCTGGAGTGGTAGCTGAGAGCTCACATCTTCAGACACGAACACAGGCAGAGAGACTTGGAATGAAACTTCAAGCCTGTCCCCAGTAGTACACCTCCCTCACAAACTGTTCCACCAAGTGGGAACCACAAACTCAACCATAGAAGCCTATGGGAGCTGTTCTCATCCAAACCATCACTGTATGAGGTGCTAGACACTGCCCACCTCCCCAGCACCTACCTCCCCCTTTTGTTTTCTGAGATATGGTCTTGCTGAAACAGTCATTTTCTCATGGATAAGAAAGCTTTGTCAGGGGACTGACAAGAGAGAAGGCCTGGTGGTTAAGAGCACTTGTGGCTTTTACAGAGGACCAGAGTTGGGTTCTCAGCCCCCACATGATGGTGGCTCACAGCCTTCTGTTCCAGGGGATCTGATACCTCCTGATGCATATACAGATATATAGGGAAAACATTCATTTACAAGTTAAATATTTAAAAATAATTAACAACAAAAGCCTTGTTAGCCCTAGCTTCTCTGTTCTCTGGAGCCCACCATTCTAAGAAACAGGTGGCAGAGATCCAAGTGCTGGCTGTTTCAGTGTTCGCCCTATCTTGTGTGTGGACAGTGAAGGCTTTGCTTGCTGGGTGCCCATGCCTGGCCTCTTTCCCTGGAGTATCCTTTATGAAGTGACACTACTTGACTTTCCACAGCTTTCTGCTGCTGCCATCTTCCCACCACCACAGCCGGGAGAAGGCCTATAGTCCCTTGGGAAAGACGTTATCATTCCAAGGGCTGCTCTGGAGCCAAGCAGTGTTGCTAGAAAGAGACTGGCTTGTGTGACACTGAAGGCTAGCCAGCTGATCACAGAACACTGTTTAAAATTTTTTTTTTTTTTTTTTTTTGTGCATTGCTGTTTTGCCTGCATGTGTATCTGTGTGAGGGTGTCAGATTACCTGGAACTGGAATTACAGACATTTGTGAACTGTGAATTAAACCCAAGTCCTCTTGAAGTCAGTGCTCTTAACCACTGAGCCATCTCTCCAGCTCTCTAGACAACAGAATTCTTTCCTGCTGTTTGGACCCATTCTTATCCGTGCCCTGTGGACATCTTACCACTGCCTAGGGAGAAATCTAGTGAGTCTGCCACTCACAGCACTGCCTTTTTGTTTGTTGTTTCTCTGGTGTAACAGCCCTAGCTGTGCTGAACTTACTCTGGCCTCGAATTCATGGATATCAGCCTGCCTTTGCCTCCCAAGCACTAGGACCAAAGGTATGCAACATTATACCTGACAGCACTGACTTCTAAATTCTGGATCAGAGGAGGCTGTGTGAGGGGCTGAGTACGTGGCTCAGGGGTACAGCCTATGCTCAGAAGAACATACAAGCCCTTGGGTTGCAGCCTCGGTGGCCCCTCAAAAATATGGAGCAGGAAATGTTCACTCAAAATTTTTTGAGTGTTTGCCTCAAATTCCTGAAAATCTGGACTTGGTCCCCGGCAAGGCAGAAAATTAGGTGTAAGCAGTGCACCCCTGGGATCCTAGCATGTGGGAGGTCAAGGTAGGTGGATCAGGGTCAGCCTTGGCTACGTAGGGAGTTTGAGGCCAGCTTGGGCTACATAAGTCTGTATCAAAAGCTGAACTGTGAAGAGAAAAATATTAATTCTTCAGGTTGGATCATATCTCGAGGAAAGGCCACAAGAGACCAGTGACAGGAATAGAAAACATTAAAATCCAACAGGGTCAGGTGCTGGCTGGTGGCCTGTTTTGCTTCCAGCCATGGCCCAGTTGGGCACCTCAGCATAGCATTATATATTAGCCCCATTTGGGGTATGTTCTTGGCTTTCTCTCCTGTGTGTGGGATGGTAACCTGGGTCACCTGCATTCTATTCTGACCTTGAAGAGGCCCTCGGTGTGAGAAGTAAACCCACTTTACCGCTCTTGGCCTAGGCCCCGTACGTGGATGTCATCTGTGTGAACAGCTACTTCTCCTGGTATCATGACTATGGGCATTTGGAGGTGATTCAGATACAGCTGAAGAGCCAGTTTGAGAACTGGTACGAGACTCACCAGAAGCCAATCATCCAGAGCGAGTATGGAGCAGACGCAATCACAGGGTTTCACGAGGTAAACAGTGTAGAATGTTTTTGTCACTCACACAGCAGTGAGGTTACTTCTCTCTTTGGGCTATCTCTGCCCTCAGTATCAGTGACCTAGCCTTAGCTCTCGGCACCACCCCAACCTTACACACACTGTTGCCGCTGCATGCAGGCCTTGGTTTGGCTTGAGTGGGTCCCCAGACAGCCCCATATTTGGCTGAATTTCCACACAACACCCACCTGCTATCCACATTGGTTTTTGTTTTGTTTTTTCTCCGGTCACATGATTTAAAAAAAAACCAGACAAATCTTTTTTTAAAGGATGTTTCAGCCTGGGAGAAGGTAGCTCAGCTGCCAGCATACTTGTCTAGCATGCCTGAAGCTCTACATCCTCCCAGCGCCACGTAAGCCAGGTGTACATGCCTACTATTCTAGCACTGGGGAGTGGGGGCAGAAGCAGCAGAAGTTTAAGGTCAGCCTTGCCTACATAATGAATTTGCTAGTCTAGGATACAGAAAACCCTATCTCAAAACAAACAAAATTCTCCCCACATCAAAGACAGGTGTTGGTAGATCCTTGGCAGGGATGGAAATGGTCCCTATCTGCACTGCCCGGAATGATAGCAACTACCACATAACAACTACTGAGGATTTGAAATGAGCAAGTTGAGAATCAGAGACAGGAGGATCCCGGTTAGCTCTCAGGCCACAGGGTGTACATGCACGGTGGCGAGCAAGAGACCTTGTCTCAAACAAGGAGGGTAAGGCTGTCCTCTGACCTCTGCATGCATTCACCCTGCACACACAGTGTACCTACATCATGCACAAGATTTTTAAAGTTTTAATTATGTGTGTGTCTGTGTGTCTGTATGTGTGTCTGGGTACCCACTGAGGCCAGAGGTGTCAGACTCCCTTGGAGCTGGAGTCACAGGTGACTGTCAACTACTTGATACCAGTGCTTGGAACAGAACTTGGGTCTTCTGTGAGAACAGTACACTCTCTAAACCACCAAGCCATCTCTCCAGCCACTTACATACATACTTTAAAATAACAACAAATCAGTCCCACACAAAGGAGTTGCTAAGTCAGGATCAGTGCACATTTGAGGCCAGTCTGGGCTACACCCAGGCTTTGTGCTAAGACCCTACTGTCAACTGCACCCCCGCCCCAAACCAAATGATTGTGGAGTTGAGGTAAACACATATTTCTACTTCCATAGTACTTTATCTTTAAGAACAGCCAGAGTACTACGAAGGTGGCATTAGCTTTGAAAGTGCTTGTTCTGTGAATGTGAGAAACAAAACTCAGGTACCTGCCACTCAGGCAGGTGACAGGCCGGTGTAGGAGCCTTCCTGTGATCCCAGTATTCTGGGGGTTGAGATGGGATCCCCAGAGCAAACGGCCTCACCAGACTCAACTGAAATAGCAAGAGATCCTGACTCAATTATCTAAAATAGAATATAGTTAAGGACCCTTTGACTTCCAACACAGACAAATGAAAATACAGAAGACAAATACACATTTACTAATTAAGGCTTTGGCTTTTTTGTTTGCTTGGCTTTTCAAGACAGTTTTTGTTTTCGTTGTTGTGTTTTGCATAGCCCTGGCTGTCTTGGAACTAGCTCTGTAGACCAGGCTGGACTCAAACTCACAGAAATCCTCCTGCCTCTACCTCCTGAGTGCTGGGATTAAAGGTGTATATCACCACTGCCCCACAGATTTTTGCACTTTGTTTTTAAGACAGGGTTCTCACTATGTAGCCCTAGCTGGCCTTGAACTCTCCATCCTTTGTCAGTCTCTTGAGTTCTTGGATTAAATGCTTGGGCCAGTGTAATGAAGATATTTTTGTTTGTTTTGTTTTTTCCAAGACAGGGTTTCTCTGTTGTAGCCCTGGCTGTACTAGAACTTGATCCTTGTAGACCAGGCTGGCCTCCTTCTGCCTTTGCCTCCAGAATGCTGGGATTAAAGGCCTGTGCCACCACCACCAGGCTTAAGGTTTTCTTCAAAATCTTTTTTACTCTGGCAGACATCAGACCTCAGCTGTCTCTGAGCCAGGGTCAGTTAAAAGTCCTGCCATTAGTACAGCCTGAAATAAAGATGATACTTTAGTCATGGTTAAGTTCATCTTTAAGTTTATCTACTCGAGTCCCAACTCATCCCCTTGCCTCATATCCCAGGATCCACCTTGCATGTTCAGTGAAGAGTACCAGAAGGCTCTCCTGGAGAATTATCATTTGGTGCTGGATCAGAAACGGAAGGAGTATGTGGTCGGAGAGCTCATCTGGAATTTTGCTGACTTTATGACTAGCCAGAGTGAGTTTCTTTTAGGCTTAGGGATGTTTCTCAGGTTGGCATTTTCAGTTCGGGGCAATTATAAGATACTGGGAATGGGATTGGGAGATGGTTTAGATGGTAAAGTACTTGCTTTGGTCTATTTTACAATCTTTAAAAGGAGAAAAGCAGGCCTCAGATTGGGTGTATCATCTCTCCTCCAACCCCAACTTTTGAGAGGGTCTCACTATGTAACCCTGGCTAGCTGGTAGGGCAGACTGGCCTGGAATTCAGTCAATCTGATTGCCTCTGCCTCCTGGGTGCTAGGAATAAAGGTATGCCCCTCCATAGTATTTTAAACTTTATCTTATTACATTTTTATGTAGTCAGAGAGTGGAAAGTAGGGAGTGGGTGGCGTATGTGTGTGTGTGTGTGTGTATGCCATAGGTAAAGGTTAGACAACTTTGGAGAGTCTGGTTGCTCCTTCTACCATGTGGATGCCTGTGATTGAACTTGGGGTGATTAGGTTTGATAGCAAGTACCTTTACTTTCTGAGTCATCTCATCCCCTTTGTTTTGTTTTCTAGAACCAATGAGAGTAATAGGGAACAAGAAGGGAATCTTTACTCGCCAGAGACAACCCAAAAGTGCAGCCTTTACTTTGCGAGAGAGATACTGGAGGATTGCCAATGAAAGCAGACATCACCGTCCAGTGCCGGGGACCCCGTGTTTGGGAACCAGACCATTTACATTCTAAAGCTAGAACTACCTCACTATAGTCAGGGCCTCTGATGAAATGAAAGACATCTCAGCAGAGCAGGGGCTGAAGGGATGGCTCAGAAGTTGAGAGCCAGGTTCAATTCCTAGTGCCCACATGGTAGCTAACTCTGAACTGTTACTCCATTTCCAAGGTGATACAAATGCCCTCTTTTGGCCTCTGCAGGTACGGCAGGCATGCAAACATACATATGGGGGAAATAGCCATACATGTAAAATAAAAATAAACTTAAATAAAAATTGTTTTCTTTTATTATTGTTGTTGCTTTTTTGAGACAGGGTTTCTCTCTGTAGCCCTGTCTGCCCTCAAACTCAAGAGATCCACCTGCCCCTGCCTCTGAAGTGCTGCGATTAAAGGTGTTTGCCAACACCACTACCTAGCAATTTTTTCTTTTAAAGTGCTATAAGTGACAAATTGGCCATTGCCCCAAGACCCCCATACTTGAGCATCTAAACAGGCTATTCTTGACCCAGTAAGAGTGAAAGAGACACTCATTAAATGCCACAGAGGAGCTGGGTGTGGTGGCACATGGCTTTAATACAGCACATGGGAGGCAGAGGATGGTAGACCTCTACGAGCTCCAGGCCAGACCTGTCTCAACAAACCCCCTTCCAATTAGCTACAGTTCCATGGATATTCACACATGTAGCAAAGTCCTATACAGTGCAGCAACCAACAAACCACTTTCCACAGTTCAGAAGTATAAGATTCAAATGCTACTCTCTGAATTGTGAGCTCACAACTCCAGCCTCGACTGTGTGTGTGTGAATATGCATGCTTGCAGAGGCCGGAGAACCACCTCAGTGGCTATCCGCAAGCATGCACTTTACTGACAGAACTGTCTTCATAGGCTTCCCTATGAACAGCTCTGTGTAGAAGTCCAATGCCTCTCACCAGTGCTACTAAATAGGACCTGCCTTTTTTGTTTTGTTCTATGAGGCAGGGTTTCTCTGTGTAGTCCTGGCTGTCCTGAACTTCCTTTGTAGATCAGGCTGGCCTCGAACTCAAATATCTGCCTGCCTCTGCCTCTCCAAATGCTGAGTTTACAGGTGTGTGCCACCAAAAGCCCAGCTGGACCTACCTTTTTAAACAGGGCCTATTAAGCTAGTGTTCTGTGTTTGGTACCTCAACTGTGATGACCTGGTTGGTCCCACAAAGTCTTTCCTTGGGAATTTGTCCCTGTGTCTCTGGTCAAGAGGCTCCACTGAGACAAGAATATATAGCACAGTATTCTTCCCAAGATCAACCCTGGGCTGAGAATGGATGCCCTGAAAAGGGTTTCCAAGCTGTCGGATGGAAGTAAGAGCTATATGCAGTGCTGGAGACAGCTGTCTTTTCTCAGGGTCAGTTCTATGCCTCTACATACATCCTGTCCCAATCTTCCCTCCTAGAACCCTGAAAAGTAGGCGCTGGAAACTGAACCTGGGTCCTCTCCAAGAGCAGCCAGTGTTCTTAATTACCTAGCCATCTCTAGCCTTTGTCATTATTATTATTTCATTTATTTATTTATTTATTTTTGAGACAGGGTCTCACCAAGTAACTCTGGCTATCCTAGAAACTCATTATGTATATCAGACTGGACTGGACTTCACAGAACTGTCTGCCTCTGCTGTGATTAAAGATTTAAACCATGCACCCAGCCCTGTCATGGATTCTTGACAATCATATGTGTAATAAACCCACAGGAATCCAAGAACATAATCCCTAAGAAATCTGTATCAATACTCTGTGCTCAGAAACCTGAATAAGTTACCCAGGATGTCCGAGGAAGGGGTTTAAAATTAGTACCTGTAGATGGGGTTGCAGTACCATGGATACTCACGTTCTTCCTGACTCTACAGTTGGTTTCATCCAACACCGTTTTGAAGACTCCGTACTGAAGTAAGAACAATGGCAGCACAATGTCCACAGGTAACATCTACATTTATTTTATACCAAAAAAGTTATGTGCAACAAATAAACATTCTTACATATTTACATCTGTTTTTATCAGTTAGCAAAATGGTATCCTAGATCTCTGATAAAGAATATTCCTATCTATATTAAAGAGGGACTCTTCCCAGTGAACTCCTTTATACATGAATGTTTACTAGGAGCTTTCGAAGCATGAGTGATACTGTAGATGGAACATACTTCACAGGTCATATACACCTATTATCTAGGTCATGCTCAATACAGCTTCTTAACATTTCACCTATTCTGGGTCAATTAGTTTAAAAGGGGAAGGGGAGGGTGTGTGTTTGACTAAGTTGCCTGGAATCTTACTCTGCCCTTTTAGACTATAGGGTTGTTCTCACAAATTAGGATTCATAAATGTGCTGCCTCAAATGCTAAAAGGAGTAGAGGGATGGGTTCACTGATGTGTGTGCACTAGAGGAAAACATGGGGGTAGGCGACATCCATATCTCCAAGCAAGTTCCTAAAAATGACAGTGAGGAACTTTGCTGATGACTTTTAAGGTAAAGCCACCACCTGTCAGTATTCATCAGAATCAACTGGGGTACCAACTATAGCTTAGGAAGTCATTGCTGAGCAGTTTTTGATTTTTGTTTTCCTTGAGACAAAGTCTCAAAAAGCCCAAGTTGCCCTTGAACTTATGGTCCTCTTGCCTCTACCTCCCAAGTGCTGGGATTATAGGCATGTGGTACCATGCCTGGCTGCACTTTGGAAAGTAATTATAAATAAAAACAAAAATGCAACAATGTTATTTTTAGTGTCCTATATCTTACCTCATAGGTACAAGGATCTTTTGTACCAAATGAAATACTTTTATATGTGTAGTGGGGTTTTCCTGCATGTATGTCTATGCACCATATGCATGCAGTGCCCGTAGAGGCCAGAAGAGGGCATCGGCTCGCCTGGAACTGGAGTTGTAGATGGTTCTTAGGACATGTGGGTTGGAGCCAAACCTGGGTCCTCTGCAAGAATGACAAGTGCTCCTAACTGCTAAACCACCTCTCCAGCCTCCCAAACTATCTATATGGAAATTGTCAATGCTTTTCAACATTCCTTCCGTATAATGAATTTGAACCACTCATTCTAGCACTTGGGAGGCTAAGGCAGGAGGAATGCCAAGTCTGAGGCCAGTCTGGGCTATGTACTGGATTCTAGGACAGCCTAGGCCACAGAGTGAGAACATGTGTCTCTTTAAAAATAAAACAAAACAACAAAAAGAGTTGAAGGAGAGGCTACATATATGAAGCAAAAATAATTCCTGGAATGCAGCTAGTGCAACTAGTTAAACCTGAGTTGTACCAGAAGTTCACCCCCCCTAACGGGAAATTAGCTATGGGAAAGGATCAAGAGAACTCCCACAAGCCAACACAGTCCTGGAGCATACCTAGCCAGAACAGTCTTTTATTCCTTCAAATGTTCTCACTATGAAGAGAGGCTTCATTTGTTATGAACTACTTCAAAACCATGAAGCGCAGAATTACTGTAGGAATCATTTTCCCCCTTGTCTGCCCTTCCACAATTATTGTTAATCACGCTTCAGTGTTTACTACTGTGGGTAGGCTCTTTGAGACAGGGTTTCACTATGTAATCCTGGCATTCCTTGTGTTCACTATTTAGACAAGGCTGGCCTCAAACTCAGAGATCCACCTGCCCCTGACTCCCAAGTGTGTGTCACCGGACCCAGCCAAACCCTGCTTCTTCAGTGTTTAAATATTCAGTCTGAAACAGAAACAGTCATAACAATATTAGCAGTTTTTATAACACAGTGTTTTTCTCCCCCATTCCACTAGGTTTAATAGAAGGTACAGAGAGAAGTCTGAATTCATTAGGGCAAAAGCTACCAAATAAAACACAACAGGGTCACTTACCGAGAACATGTATTTTAGCAAATGCTTTTTTTTTTTTTTTTTTTTTTTTTAAAGATAGGGTCTCCTGTAGCTAATGTTGGTCTCTAATTTGCTATGTAATCAAGGATGACATTGAATTCCTGATCCTTCTGCTTCTACAACCCAAATGATGGGACCACAGGCAAGCATGAACACACTGGTCAGCAAACACTGTTATCTCAGACAGCACCTGTTAACTCTCAGTGAGAAAGGGGTATTCATTCTATTAGGTCACAGGAATGTAACAAACAAACAAAAAATTCATACAATCAATAATGGTGGTACTCCCAAGACTTAGGAAAGCAAAGGGAAGCCTTGAAGGGTCTGGTGCATGGAACACTCTCACATTTTTTTGAGTAAAGGTTGGAGACATCTGTAATCTCAAGACAAGCTTTAACACCATTCTGCTGAGTGATAAAGAATACAAAAGGTCATTTGGAATTGGGACCCAAGGGACTTGTTTAGCACAGCCTTGATATGGAAGTAGCAGAAGTCTTAGCTGGTAGCCATTTCCACTGCCTTGGGAGACCGGGACACAGGGCTACAAGATGACATCACTATACAGTTCTCGCATGAGGACTTGGTTCTCCATAAATACCATTCAGTACTTCCTAGAAGTCCTTTAACTATTTCAGAAGACAACAGCAGTGCATACATAGTAAGACGGTCATGGAAATGTTCACATTCATGGGGAAACACAACCTTTGCTGAAATTAAAACTGGTTAGAACCTACTAAAAGGGCATTATAATTCATATTTTATCCCTAGCCTCGGCCAGAAATCCTATGATGCATCAGTTATGACTGAAGGTCAGAAGCCTCTGAATGATTGTTGACCACACATGCTCTTTACAAAGCAGCCAGTTCCCTTCCTCCAAAAGAAGGCAAATAAAAGCTCTCAGAATTTGCTGTCTAGTTGACTATTTTTAACATAATGATTAACCAAACTATAAACAAAAACACTGCCACTTCTCAAAGAACTCCCAAGGAATACAATGGCCGCACAATCCTTCTGGTAGAATGCAAGTTCTCTGCTTTGTGGTAAGGAAGGAAAGGAGGGATACTTCTGCCCCAGTTCAACACACAGAATAATTTGGTTTGAGATTTAAGACAGAAGGCACTTTTAACATCTCCTGTAAGATGCTAACCAGAGAAACACAGTCACCATGTCATCAGGTTTATTCAGGTCACCTCTGGGTTCTTCTCACTGCTTCTGTGTGGCTACTGGAGTGGGACAAAGTTTCCACGTTTCACTTCCAGGTCTTTCTACGTGTTATGTTTCTTCTGAGTCAGCAAACTGGTCCTCGTGTCAGCCCTAAGATTTACAAATTCAATATGTGATTCTGAAACACCTACTGACAATCCTTAGTGCAAGAAACAAGAAGGGAAAAACTTTGGGCAGACCTCAGAGCACTTGGTTTGTGCTTGTATCAGTCATAATACTGTTGAGCTGACTGGCACCAGGATCAAGAGAACACACCTGCATTGAAAGCTCAGCTATTGTTTAAGAGGCTTTGCCCAGAAATGCCATAGTGGTTTCAGCTTTTCTCCAATGACTACATCCATTTCCTACGATCAGTGTCCCGAGAGCCTTAGAATTAAAGGTCTGGTCACAAGATATCCTATATAGTTACAATCCATCAAGTCTTATGACTACTCAAACTTGACTCAGATGTTCAGGTTTAGTTTCTTCCTCTCAGAGTGGGAGGGAACCAACCACCCTATTTCTGCTGTCAATAGTGCACCAGTGCTGTCAGCATTTTCCCAAGATGTTGTTTGCATCTACTATTTCCACTACATATCAGTCACGATGAGCTGACAATTCTTCATTGCTACACTCCAACTAAACTGTACAGTAAGTTCTGCAGGGGTGGATCCAATGTTTCTACCTTTATTTACAAATATCACACAAATGGACTCTAATTGAATCTACAGGTTTAAATCCATCGGCTAAAAACATATTACATATTGTAAACATGGCAATATTTAATACAGTATCTATTCTAAAATATTTTCATGTTCATGATCACATTTGTTATACCTGAAATTGAATTTATACACATTAAAGAATTACTAGCAATGGCTGCTCACTTTACGGTTGAGGACCGGGGGCTAGGGCTACATTTTATTATCTCAGAAACATCTTCAAGGTAAAGTTAAAGCTTGTCTTTGATTGGCTCGGCGTATCCTTTTTTGTATCCGTATTTAAAATGAAGATTGACACAGAAAATAGCTAGGGCCCCTTCTAATTTACAATATTTTAAAAAATCAGTTTAAGATTCTCAGGGAAAGTGTCTGTTGTGAATTAAAAAAAAAAAAAAACAAAAACTTGCAAAATAAACTTAATGAAAGAAGTGTTTGAGCCAGCTGGGTGGAAATCCGGCAGCCATCAGTCTTCCTTAGGCTGCAGCTGTCGCTTCCAGGCCTCATTCAAGTAAACTAGTCGTTTGTAATTGATGATGAGGAGAATGAAGTTCAGCACATATGTGGTGACGCTGATGATGCAAAACTCCTTCAGCACAAAGTACAGAATATAGGCCAGGTACAAAGACCCCACCACAGACACGATGGAAGAGGTCATGAGGACCAGAGCTGCAACTGCGCTGGCTGTCATGCCTGCAAGAGAGAGACACGGCTAGGTCAGGGCTGGGCCTGGACAGAGGCTTCTCAACTGACAAGTGGTAGGCTGTGACTAGCAGTGTATTAATACTGACCTTACCTTCTTGGCTCTAACAGCAGAGTGCAAAAACTGCCCATCTGTTTCAACACTAAGTAGGCTAAATTTTACTGACAGGCTTCAGCTGCCAGGGTTCTGATCTGTTACTGTTTCACAAGGAAGTGTGCACATAAACTATGCAAGCTCTCGATCACATGAAGCAAAGATGCTGATGCAGCTTCCTAATGAGAGCAGGAACAAGGGCCGAAGCTTTCCTTCCAAGCCATACCTACTGGGTAATGTCCTCCCCTGGCATTCCACTATAGGTTCCCTATCTGGGGACAATGTTGCTTATCATGTTTAGATCAAATTTACCAAAAATCTAGACCAGGTGGTGCCCTTGCCAACACTGTGCTGAGGAGGAAAAACCAAAACAAAGAGTGTTGACACTTCAGAATAGCTAACTGGTGGATAAGGGAAACTACACCAGCCCAGTAAGCCACACCTGCATCAAAACAGATCAGGCAAAAAGGCAGTTTGGGCTGGACATGTGTCCATAATCCCAGCACTCTGGGGTCTGGGGCAGAAAGATCAAACTGGAGGCCTGCCTGGATACATAGTAAGACCCTGTCTAAAGGTGTTGGGGGGCGGGAGCTAACTAGTCGGGTATTAAAAACCACGGCTCAAGACAAAAGGGTGTCTCAAGTTCTGAATACCTTCACATGTACTGTTCTGAAATTTTCTGATGGCAGCAACACAAGCATTATAAACACTTATTTTCAAGGACAGAAAAGGCAGAGCATATTAAAGTCCTTGCCTATCCAAAAGCTAATAGGCCAGCAAAGCCTAGATTATGTTCAATTTACTCAAACAGTACTGCCCTCACCTATGCTAAATCATCTATGCTCAAAATCTAAGCCTAAATAATCAGTGTTGACACCTTAACTTTATCAAAGAAAGTTAGTTTTAAAATGATGCAAGAACCAGGCATGGCAATCCACGCTATAATCCCAGCACTCAGGAGGCTATGGCAGAGCAACTGTGAATCTAAGGACAACCAAGGCTCTGAAGTGAGTTCCAGCCTAGTTTGAGATATGTACACAAATAAGTATTTTGAAAAATGATACTGGTGGGCTAGAGGTGTAGCTCAGTAGCAGATCTCTTGCCATCTTGATGTACAAGGCTGGGGTTCAACCCCCAGCACAGCAAGCAAATGAACAAAAAAGAAATAAATAATAAAATGATGTACAAAGTATTTATTCTGTTTTTCTCTGCTCAAATTTAATAGCAGACAGTACTCAAACCACCTCTTAAGTCTTCTGTGAGCATTAAATGAGCTCAGATAAAGCTTGACTATATGAGCTACAATAAGGTTCTCTGAATGGCCTGTAAGTGCTGCTGTTTTACTAATTGTAGTGTATGCGGGTACTTGTGGACTTTATAATATGCCATAACTCTAACAACAGAGTATCTTCTAGCTCTAAAAACAATAACAAAAACAACTTACTGTAGCCAATAAGTATAATGTATACTTAATGTATACATTTTATATAAAAGTATAAAAAAGATAAATAGAACAGTCAAAAAAAAACAAAAAGGAGGGAAAAAAGAAATTAAGCTATTGGACAGGGAACATAGCATTTGCTTTTTACGTTTTGAAATTTGAAAAAAAATTAAGATCATGTGTTTGCATTTTCTTATGTATGCAAAAACAAACTCCAGAACCATAAGGTAAACTGAGGTGGGATTCCTTATCACCATACAGCAGCTATTTTTATAACACTGAACTATAAATTAATAAAAATAATTTATACTTATAATTTATAATTAATAAAAATAAATTCAAAATAGTGACTGTCACATAGTGACATACAAGGGAGTGAAGTGGCAGGCTCTGGAATCCAGTGTTAGATGATTCAAAAGAGCTGACATTACAAAAACATGTGGAAACTAAAAAGTCAGGAAATATGAGTGGAAATAATACACATGATGAAACTATGCACATGAAATAATATTATAAGTGAAAACTTGTCTCACCTTGGTCTCCCACATAAACGTGGATGATTTTTTCCCCCTCTAGGCCATTTTCTATTAAGGGAAAACGAGCTGCTTTGAGCTGCGTTTTGTACTTTTGTACTTGGCATTTGTAGAATTCCCACAGAATCAATAAGTTAGAGATGAAACCTTTCTCCTCCCATCACAGAACCCCTCACTATGCTTTTGCATACACAAACATAATTCCCCTATAGCTTTAAACTTTATTTTGCTCATTTTACTGAACAGTACCTAATCTTTTCACTCACTCCTACTTTAACGACTACACACAACTTTCTTAGATAGATCTGACCTCTTGAGCTTACTGCTAAGCCCCATGATAGTTAGCTATTTTAATCTGCACTATCACTATCACCTTCCTATTTCTGTAGGATAGATGTGTACATTCAGAATTGGGCAAACTTGATAGTACTTTTTAGAAAAATTCATATTCCAAAGGTGAATCACAGCAAGCCAACTCCAGACTGAAGTTAACCAATCACTGCACAGAAAAGAAGAGCTGACAAACAATGAAATAAAATATTAACAGCTGAATTACAAAGCACAAATGGAAACAAAAGCCCCACCACAAAACCAACATTTAAAAGGATAAAAAGGATTATCATAAATAAGCTTAGTGGGCAGCAAAAAACAACAACAACAAAAAAAAAACATTAAAATACAATAAAATTAAAACGATGGCTAATGATACTTGACAACTAAAAAATTTGACCAAAAACATTTCTAAAATGAAGACTGGATGGAGACCAGATGACTGGGGACAGAGGGACAATTTGGCAATAGCTGCAAAATCTGTTTTCTAAAAAACGTTTGACTCATTAACCTCATGCCTGGAAATTTATTTCCAGGAAATAAGTCAAGGAAGGGAGAATGCTATAAAGAAAATGGATCCCCGTGGCATTATTTAGTAAAAGTGTAAAACTGAGATGCCCACACTTAGGACAATGATATTAAAAATAAAGAGGCCACACAACTTTTTTTTTTTTTTTTTTTTTTTTTTTTTTTAAACAAAAGGCAGGGCTGAGGCTACAGCTTAGTTGTACAGTCCTGGGTTTGATCCTAGTACCACAGAGGACAAGCAAAAGACCCACAAGATAGGGAAACAGTAGATCCACAGACACAATGAAATTAATAATTTTCTGCTACTGTTTTCTTAATGTATGATACTTTGAAATAGCTAGAGTCTATAATACAATTTGAAAAAACAAGCTTACAAGGAAGACTGGAGTAATAATCTCCATGAATGGGACTGGGTTTCTGAACATGACACACTGCTGGCCATGACTAAATGTCTAATGATACCAAGGTCAACATATGATAAAAAGTGAATCACACTTTCACAATACAAAAATATGCTGCACCCGAATGACTCCCTATTATCAGCATGTGTTTTTCTATGAAGACGTACTAGGGAGAAGACACAAGCACTGAATGGGTATAACAAGCTTATTTCTGTATCTCTGTATAAATACTTACCAAGTAATAACTGTAGTATATAAAATATAAGTCCAAAGACACTGTTTGGCTGGTTTAATACACCATCTTTTCCAAAAATGGAACCCAAAAGACCAAATCCTCGACCCCATCTGTAAAATAAGGAAAACCAGTAACCCTATATTTGAGATTCCCTAATTTTAAAATTTAAAATTATTTGAGAATGTTATCCAATTCCAAAATCAACTATGTTGACAAAATGCTTAAATATCTTTTATTCCAAGAGTGATTTACGCACAGGGGAAAGCCAAACATTACATTTCTGTACTGTGTCTGACTTAAAACGATGGTTTAACACAAACATCCCTAAAAGCTCTGTATCTCCACCTAAGACTCTCTTTTCCTAAGGCAGGTAAAAGGTTTCTTTACTGACATTATTAGCATTTGCAAGAGAAAGAATCTCTCAATTCAAGCCACACTCAGACTTTTCCAACTAGGTAACTCCTTGTGGTGGAGATGTTCGCACATTAGTGTCCAGCAGGGTCCCCGGCCTCCATCCACCCTATCTCCCACTCTCAGCTGTGACCATGAACAAAGCTTTCAGCCACTGCTAAGGGCCCCAGTTGAAAACTACTGATGTGGTCCATTCCGCAGCTGTACTCGAAATAAACAGGTTGAGAAGTTGCTTACTGGAAATTACAGCAGGGTAAACACGAGAAGACATACCCTGAGAACAGGTCTTTGAATGCAGAGCAATATCAGAAACTATATATAGGTCTCTTTCTAGAATCCTGTTTCCAAGTAAAAAACTGATACTTCGTGTTCCACTACACGTTTTTATTTAGATTTTAACTTCAAAATTTGTATGTAACTTCACTTTTTCCGAGTCTTTTAAAGTAACTTTTATTGAGTTTATTCTTTCACAATCCTATACATATGTAAAGTTCATTTTGTCTGCCCTCTTTATATATTTCCCACCTCTATTACTCTCCTAGAATCCTCTTACTTTAAAAAAAAAAAAATTAAAATCCGATTTAATAATATAATCCAAACAGACCAACATTAACTGGATGAAAACCTTAAGAGACTTCAGCTTTTGACTCAGAATGATAGTGCTTCCTAAACACAAAAAGGAAATAACCATAGAATTTAGAAGGATACATCAGAATATAACCTCAACTTTGCTGTAAAGACAAACATCTGAGAATAAGAGTGAATGACTGAATCATGCTGGTTTAAAGGAACTCATACCCAAACAAGGGAACAAAACCCCTTCACAGTCATGCTGAAACAATAACTTGAAACTGAGGGCTACAGAGGACTTGTATTACATAGATTTACACATTTCAAAACACAAAACAAGCTCCATCACATGTATGTGTTCTCTCACTCAACAAATACTTAGTGAGTAGTACACCTGAGGTACGGCACCCAACAGATGCACTATCCTTGTGGGACTTACATTTTAGTTATGGCCAAAATAAAATAAAATAAAATAAAAATAAAAATAAAAATAAAAATAAAATAAAATAAAATAAAATAAAATAAAATAAAATTACCAAGTACATTGTCTTCAGGACAACCCTACTCAGACAGACTGACAGACAGACAGAAGAACAGAGGTGGAACATTCCAGGTTCACACTTGGAAGTGAAGCCACCTAACAAGGACTTGTCAAAATGTAGATTTTTGCTTCAGTGGGCTGCCAGTGGGGCTAAGACTGCATTCTGCAAAAGGAGCTGGGGCGGGGTGCATGTCTGTAAGTCCAGCACTCTGGAGGCTGAAGAAAAAAGATCATTAGGAGTTTAAGGCTAACCTGAGCTACAAAGTGAGCCCGGGTTACAGAATGAGACCCCGTTCCAAAACAACAACAAAAATAAGTAGAAATAAAATAAGCAGAAATAGATCTCCCCATTGAGCCACTATACCTCTAACTTGTAGGTATTTATCAGAATGATTACAAGCATGTGCATCAATGTTTACTGTACATAAGGGTAATTACATAGATGTAATAACCTAAGTCCAACCCCCAGCTCCCACATAACTGACTCTACAATGTTGTCCTCTGACTTCCACATGTGTGCCATGGCATGAACCTCTAACATCCCTGCCAACACCATGTACACAAATCAATCAATATAAAAGAAGAATAAATTTTTTAAGTTAGGGCCAGTGAGATAGTTCAGAGGTTAAGGCCTCTGTCACCAAGCCTGACAACCTGAGTACAATTCTCAGGACTTTGATGGAGAGAAAACCAAGTTGTCCTCTGACTGGCACAACATGCACCCTTAACACACCAATCTCGTCTAAAAAACAGCCAAGAAGCTAGTACAGATGAAACATAAAAGAACTTTTTAAAGATTTACTTACTCATTTATTTATTTGTTTGCTGATTCATTCATTCATTCTACAATATTCTGCCTGCATGTATGCCTTCACTCCAGAAAAGGGCACAAGATCTCATATAGATGGTTGTCAGCCACCATGTGGTTGCTGGGAGATGAACTCAGGACCTCTGGAAGAGCAGATAGTGCTCTTAACCTCTTTATGGGGCCATCTCTCCAGCCCCATAAAAGAATTTTTAAAATATTTTTTAAGGTCTCACTGTATAACCATGACTGGCCTGGAATCATTATATATATGTAAACCAAGCTGCCCACCTCTCCCTCCTTAGTGCTGGGATTACAGGTGTGTGCCACCATGCCTGGCTTTACCCCAGTGTATACTATAAAAAAATCATTTTGAAATAGTTGTGGTTATATACCTCTGTAATCCCAGGACTTGGAAAGCTAAGCAAGAGAAGGATGAGAAGTTGAGACTAGCCTGGGCTACATAGTAAGGCTGTGTCCAAAAAATCCAAAATCATTCTAGGGGGCTGAAAGATGACTTAGCGTTAACCGCATGAACTGCTCTAGCAGAGGACCTGTGTTCAGTTCCCAGCACCTATGGTCACGTGGCTCACAACTGTCTGTAACTAAAGCTCCAGGGGATCTGGCACTCTCTGGCTTTGAACTAACATGCACCCACCCACCCCCCCCACAAGCACAAAACTTAGAATAAAAATAAGCTAGAAGCTGGAGAACTGGCTCAGTGGTTAGCAGTGCTGGCTGCTCTTCCAGAGGACTTAGGTTTGTGTCCCAGTGTCCACACAGCAGCTCATACTATTTGTGGCTCCAGTCCTAGGAGATCTGACTCAACTACTTCTGGTCTCCAGAACATGTATTCACAAATACACATGTAGGCAAAATACCCATACACACAAAAATACATAAAAAATAAAAATAATAAAAAATAATAAGGAGTAGTGGTGCATACCACGAGGCAGAGGCAGGTGAATCTCTGAATTTGAGGCTAGCCTGATCTACATGGCAAGACTAAGGACAGCCTGAATTACATAGTGAGACCTGTTGCAAAAAATAAATAAATAACATAGTTCAAAATTTTATTTTAAAAGGCCTTTTAGCCTCAATATTGAAAAGAGCCTGGAAGGAGAAGAGTAGCAGTAGGTTGTCCAGTTACATACTACTGAAAGAATCCCAGCAGAGTGTGAGGCTGTGGTGCCCAGGGACTGAGAAATGTTAGACCCAGGCTATTTGGAAGGTGTAGATCCCAGAACTTGTTCATATAGAACATGCAGTATGACACAAAGAAATGACACTGAGGACACTGACTTGAGTAGCTGGGAAGAAAAGATGTGTTTTCTGAGTGAGGAAGGAGGATATGATTAGAAACTCAGCTTCGGACGCAGGCTTGCACTACCTTTAGCATCTACGTAGCGATGACAGATAAGTAAGTAGATGTATAAACTTGTAGAGTAGGCTAGGGAGAAATCTGGCAGCAGTTGGGATATGGGTGGTATTTTAGAGTCGGGAGACTTATGATGGCAACAATAACTTCTGATAAACTAATGGCCATTAATGAATGAACAATAACTGATGCATGACTCAGTGTCAGGCATGGCAAGGGTGAACACGTGGCTAAGGACTTTGGTGACTATGCCTCTGTTGCTCTGAACCACAACTGTCCTTGATTTAGGTGGCTTTCCCTTTACTTGGCCCTGAAAGTTAAATGCATTTCCTACATACCTTGAAATAGAGGCTGTGGATATCTCCTCAAACTCTGCCTGAGGGGATGGGGATGGCTCATTGGTAAAGTGTTTGCTATGCAGGCTGGAGAAATGGCTCAGCAGTAAAGAGGACTGGCTGCTTGTCCAGAGGTCCTGAGTTTAATTCCTAGCAACCACATGGTGGCTCACAACCATCTATAACAGAATTTGATGCCTTCTTCTATCTGAGGTTCTCTTCTGACATGCAGGCGTACATGCAAATAGTGTTGATTTATTTACATAAGTAAATAAATCTTTGAAAAAAAAAGTGTCTGCTATGTAAGCAAGGAGATCTGAGTTCAAGCCCCAGAGCCTACATAAAATGCTAGGTATGATGTCAATTGTAATTCCAGCTAGTGGAGACGGGCATAGGCTAGCCAAATTAGGGTGTTTCCCTCCAGTGAGAGACTGTCTCAAAATTAAGGTGAGGCTATCAGATGGTTCAGTGGGTAAAGGCACTTACTGGCAAGCCCAACAACCTGAGTTCTTCTATCCCTGGAACCCACATGGTGTATAGAGAGAACTGGTTACTCCAAGTTGTCCCCTGACCTCCAAAGAATTCTGTAGTGTACATACACAAACACACATAAAGAAAATAGCTTAATAGTAAAAATAATAATAATATAATAATAAGGTAAAGGGAAATTAAGGAAGTCATTCAACACTGACCTTTTGCTTCCACATGCACTGGCATGTACGCAACACACAACCTGGCTAAGAAACATTCTGTGGACACATCTGAAAATTATTTCAAACCACTTATTTCTATGGGTTTTAACTTTTTTTTTTTAAAGTTTTGATACGAGGTCTCTCATTTTGTAGTCTATACTGGCCTAGAACTATGTTGCCCAGACTGGCCTTAAACTTGTGACAATCTTCCTATCTCAGCCTCCCAAGCACAGAAATTACAGGTGTTGAGCTACCATACATGGCTGAGTTTTACTCTTATACCAGCAATAACTTTGGACACCATGATCTCTTATATAAAACTGTTTCCATGGAGTTTAATGTTAGTATTATGTCTTAACAACTACTAAAGGGACATTA